CATCATTAAAATGTCCATTCTACCCAAAGCAATCTACAGGTTAAACACAATCTCTATTAAAATACCAGTGGCATATTTCACAGATCCACATAGAATATTCCAAAATTTTATAAGAAACAAAAAAAGATCCCAAATAGCTGCAAGAATATTGAAAAAGAAGAACAAAGTGGGAGGGATCACAATACCAGATATCCTATACTACAAAGCCATTGTAACCAAAATAGCCTGGTACTGGCACAAGAACAGGCATATAGACCTATGGAACAGAACAGAGACTCCAGAAATCAACCTACACCAATATGGCCAATTAATATTTGACAAAGATGATAACAGCATACAATGGAATAAAGATAATCTCTTCAATAAATGGTGTTGGGAAAATTGGACAGGTACATGCAAAAAAAAATGAAATTAGACCACCAACTTACACCACACACAAGAATAAACTCAGAATGGATAAAAGACTTAAACATAAGTTGTGAAACCACATAAATCTTACAAGAAAACATAGGCAGTAAAATCTGAGACATCTCACGTAGCAGTATTTTCACTGATACATCACCTAGCGCAAGGGAAACAAAGGAAAAAATAACAAATGGGACTACATCAAACTAAAAAGCTTCTGCACATCAAAAGAATCCATCAACAAAATGAAAAGGGAACCTACTGTATGGGAAAACATATTTGCCAATGATATACCTGATAAGGGTTTAATTTCCAAAATATACAAAGAACTCATATACCTCAACACCAGGAAGACAAACAACCCAATTTAAAAATGGGCAAAGGACCTGAATAGATATAATTCTTCTTAACAGACCATGTGTGTTACACAGTATTTAAAATTTACACATTTCAAAATTTGGAAACAAATTTCTTCATATCAGCCAAGCTCTATACATTTTGAGGAAGTTAGCATTTTAGTTAGGGAAATTAAATTAATTCAGGGTGAACATGACACAGATCCTGATGTACCATGTGGATCTTATCACCCAAAAAATTCAAATATTTAATGTCATTTTTATTTCCTTAATTCAAAATCCTTTCATGAATATCTACTACTTGCAAGGCCTGTGAGGTCCTTTATATACATGTGAATAATGTCTTCCAGAATTGTTTAAGAATTCATCCAAAGTTTCTCCTTAGCCTATTTATTCCTCCATCATGTCTGAACTTGTTTCATATGATAAGCTACAGGTCTCTTTCTCATGCTAACACACATAATAGTGTGTTATTAACTATCCCTTCTTCAACCACTCCAAGATAAAATCACATTCAGCTACATTTTTACTTTGTAGTTTTCAACGTTTACATTTTTAATTTTGGACTTGTTAAAAACAAAAGGAAAAGGCCCAGCTGGCGTGGCTCAGTGGTTGAGCATCAACCTATGAACCAGGAGATCACAATTTGATTCCCAGTCATAGCACATGCCCAAGTTGCAGGCTTGATCCCCAGTGTGGGGCGTGCAGGAGGCAGCCAATCAATGATTCTCTCTCATCATTGATGTTTCTATTTCTCTCCCCCTCTCCCTTCCTCTCTGAAATCAATAAAAACACACATTTTTTTAATTGAACATTTTTTAAGTGTTTTATTTTTTTTTATTGCTTAAATTATTACAAAGAGTATTACATATGTCTTCCCACTGCAGTTTGCCAATCAGTTTGAGGCAGCTCTGCCTCTGTATCTATTATTGTTCAAAAGTTTGTAATGGTCTCTATTATCCATGAATGAGTGAGATCATGTGGTATTTTTCCTTCATTGACTGGCTTATTTCACTTAGCATAATGCTCTCCAGTTCCATCCATGCTGTTGCAAATGGTAAGAGTTCCTTCTTTTTTACAGCAGCATAGTATTCCATCGTGTAGATGTACCACAGTTTTCTAATCCATTCATCTACTGATGGGCACTTAGGCTGTTTCCAAATCTTAGCTATGGTGAATTGTGCTGCTATGAACATAGGGGTGCATATATCCTTTCTGATTGGTGTTTTTGGTTTCTTGGGATATATTCCTAGAAGTGGGATCACAGGGTCAAATGGGAGTTCCATTTCCAGTTTTTTGAGGAAACTCCATACTGTCTTCCATAGTGGCTGCACCAGTCTGCATTCCCACCAGCAGTGCACAAGTGTTCCTTTTTCTCCACATCCTCTCCAGCACTTGTCGTTTGTTGATTTGTTGATGATAGCCATTCTGACAGGTGTGAGATGGTACCTCATTGTTGTTTTGATTTGCATCTCTCGGATGATTAGCGACTTTGAGCATGTTTTCATATGTCTCTTGGCTTTCTGAATGTCCTCTTTTGAAAGGTGTCTATTTAGGTCCTTTGCCCATTTTTTGATTGGATTGTTTATCTTCCTTTTGTTAAGTTGTATGAGTTCCCTATAAATGTTGGAGATTAGGCCCTTATCAGATATAATGTTGGCAAATATGTTCTCCCATGTAGTGGGCTTTCTTGTTGTTTTGTTGATGGTTTCTTTTGCTGTGCAGAAACTTTTTATTTTGATGTAGTCCCATTTGTTTATTTTCTCTTTAGTTTCCAATGCCCTAGGATCTGTATCGGTGAAGAAATTGCTTCGGCATAGGTCTGAGATTTTGTTGCCTTTGGATTCTTCTAGTATTTTTATGGTTTCCGGTCGTATATTTAAGTCCTTTATCCATTTTGAGTTTATTTTTGTGTATGGTGTAAGTTGGTGGTCTAGTTTCATTTTCTTGCATGTATCTGTCCAATTTTCCCAGCACCATTTATTGAAGAGACTGTCTTGACTCCATTGTATGTTCTTGCCTCCTTTGTCAAATATTAATTGAGCGTATTGGTTGGGGCTGATTTCTGGGCTCTCTATTCTATTCCATTGATCTATATGTCTGTTCTTGTGCCAGTACCAGGCAGTTTTGAGAACAGTGGCTTTGTAATACAGCTTGATATCTGGTATTGAGATCCCACCTACTTTCTTCTTTCTCAGGATCGCTGCAGCTATTCGGGGTCGTTTTTTGTTCCAGATGAATTTTTGGAGAGTTCGTTCTAGGTCTGTGAAATATGCCGTTGGTATTTTAATGGGAAGTGCGTTGAATTTATAGATTGCTTTGGGTAGTATGGACATTTTAATGATGTTGATTCTACCAATCCAAGAACATGGTATGTTCTTCCATCTCTTTATGTCTTCCTCTATCTCTTTTTTCAACGTCCTGTAGTTTTCTGAGTAGAGGTCTTTTACCTCTTTAGTTAAGTTTATTCCTAGGTAGCTTAATTTTTTTGGTGAGATGGTAAATGGGATTGCTTTTTTAGTCTCTCTTTCTGCAAGTTCACTATTGGTGTATAGAAATGCCATAGATTTCTTGGCGTTAATTCTGTATCCTGCTACATTGCCGAATTCTTTTATTAAGTCTAATAGTTTTTTGATGGAGTCTTTAGGGTTTTTTAAGTATAATATCATGTCATCTGCAAATAAGGACAGTTTTACTTCCTCTTTTCCAATTTGGATGCCTTTTATTTCTTCTTCTTGTCTAATTGCAATGGCTAATACTTCCAGTACTATGTCGAACAGGAGTGGTGAGAGTGGGCATCCCTGTCTTGTTCCTGTTTTTAGGGGAAATGGTGTTAGTTTTTGTCCATTGAGTATGATGTTGGCTGTGGGTTTGTCATATATGGCTTTTATTATGTTGAGGTATGATCCTTCTATTCCCACCTTGCTGAGAGTTTTTATCAAAAATGGGTGTTGGATTTTGTCGAATGCTTTTTCTGCATCAATTGATATGACCATGTGGTTTTTTTCTTTCAATTTGTTTATGTGATGTATTACGTTTATTGATTTACGGATGTTGTACCATCCTTGCATTCCTGGGATAAATCCTACTTGGTCATGGTGTATGATCTTTCTGATGTACTGTTGGATCCGATTTGCTAAGATTTTGTTGAGGATTTTGGCATCTATGTTCATGAGGGATATTGGCCTGTAATTCTCTTTCATTGTGTTGTCTTTACCTGGTTTTGGTATTAGGGTGATGCTGGCTTCATAGAATGAGCTTGGAAGTGTTCCTTCCTCTTGGATTTTTTGTAGTAGTCTGAGGAGGATAGGTTTTAGTTCTTCCTTGAATGTTTGGTAAAACTCCCCTGTGAAGCCGTCTGGTCCTGGGCTTTTGTTTGCTGGAAGCTTTCTGATGACTGCTTCAATTTCTTCCATAGTTATTGGCCTGTTGAGATTTTTAGATTCTTCCTGATTAAGTTTTGGAATGTTGTATTTTTCTAGAAATATGTCCATTTCCTCCAGGTTGTCTAGTTTGTTGGAGTAGAGTTGTTCATAGTATTTTTTAACAATCATTTGTATTTCTGTGGGGTCTGTTGTTATTTCGCCTCTATCATTTCTGATTTGGTTTATTTGGGTCCTCTCTCTTTGCTTTTTGGTGAGCCTGGCTAGAGGTTTGTCGATCTTGTTTATCCTTTCAAAGAACCAGCTCTTGGTTTCATTGATTTTCTGTATTGTTTTTTTGGTCTCTATGTCATTTATTTCTGCTCTAATCTTTATTATCTCCTTCCTTCTGCTCACTCTGGGGTTTTCTTGTTGCTCTCTTTCTAATTCTTTGAGCTGTAGATTTAGATGATTTACTACCATTTTTTCTTGTTTTTTGAGGTAGGCCTGTAGAGCTATAAACTTCCCTCTCAGGACTGCTTTCATTGTGTCCCATAGGTTTTGGATTGTTGTGTTTTCATTGTCATTAGTTTCCAGGATGTTTTTAATTTCTTCTTTGATCTCATTGGTAACCCAATCAATATTTAATAACATGCTATTCAGCTTCCAAGTGTTTGAGTATTTTGAGTTGTTTTTATTGTAGTTTATTTCTAATATTATGCCTTTGTGGTCTGAGAAGATGCTTGGTATGATTTCAATCTTCTTGAATTTGGGGAGACTTTGTTTGTGACCCAATAAGAAAACACACATTTTTAAATAAAGGAAAAGAAGCACTGTTCTAACCCAACCCTCATGTTTCCCCTCCCTGTCTCTCTAGCTCCGAGGTCGGGTGCCCTCTCCCTGCGATCCCATGTGCAAGACGGTGGACTGGGCCCTGGCCGTCTGGCGCCAGCTCAACTCCTGCCTGGCCCGCCTGGGCACACCTGAAGCACTTCTGGGGCCAAAGTATTTCCTGTCGTGTCCTGTCGTCCCAGGACATGCCCAAGTGACAGTGAAGTAAGTGTCGTTTCACCTTACTTGCCTTTTTAACCTAGAGCCGAGGCTAATTTGTTTGTGCTACCTCCTGTCATCAGCAAGGAGTGTCAGAGGACAGCTGTGACTTGTCTGTTGGCTCACTCCTAAGGAAACTAAGAGCCAGATAGCAGCTTTCCTCTTTTATAAAACTCTCATCAAAGTCACGTGTGACTCGCTGTGCAGGGTCGCCTGGGGAAGGCCCACATGAGAGAGTCAGTCAAGTATCCTGTAACCACACAAACCAAAACCTTACCTTCTATTGATGAATTAAAAGCTTCTGCTATGTCAATGAGACTTAGGTACTTCCCATGCTTTTCTTTGCAGCAGCTTATGAGAACAGACGTATAAATAATAAGGTTAATGAAATAGAAAATCAGGATGAAATTGAAAAGGAGAAAAAAATTTGTCACACTCCAGCTTAGTAAGGGTTCTGTGATCAGCTGTCAGCTTTGTTCTGCAATTTCTGGCATCCTGGGCAGAAATCCATTTTAGAAAGCAGGGATGCAAATAATGTATCTTCTTTATTATAAGACAAACTGTCAATTCAAGCCGATTGGGGGAAAGGAAGAATTACCACGTTTAAAATATACACAGCATTACCTTGCTAAAGAGCAGAAATACGGCCCAGCCAGCGGCTCAGTAAGGAAAGAAGCACTGTTCTAACCCAAGCCCTCGTGTTCTGCTGGCTCAGAGGTCAGGTGCTCTCTCCCTGCGACCCCATGTGCAAGACAGTCGACTGGGCCCTGGCCTCTGGCCCCAACTCAACTCCTGCCTGGCCCGCTTGGGCACACCTCAAGCACTTCTTAGGCCAAAGTATTTCCTGTCTGGTCATCCTGTCTTGTACACCAAAAAGGTTTCAGGTTTGATCCCGGGTCGGGGGTGTACAGGAGGCAGCTGATCAATGCTTCTCTCTCTCTCCCTTCTTCTCTCTCTAAAACTCAATAAACATATCCTCAAGTGAGGACTTTAAAAAAGTAAGAATACATTTATACCTCTAATTATGCCCCTTTTCATCAATATTACAATTACATTTAAGCCTTTCACATCCAGAGTCTCAAGATTCTTAGGAGCCAACTTTGGCCTTTCCTATCAGGAGCACAGTCACTGTCAAGAACTGTCGAGGCTCTGAGATTCGTACCCTATTTGCAAGCTAACAAGTTATTCTGCCACAGGTTCAGGGTTTGGGGTCAGAGGCCAAGGACTTCAGCCCTCACAACACAGCCCAGCCTGGGCTTCATATTTCACTGGTTCCCCGAGCTCCTCAAGGTGGTGCACAGTGACCCAGGTGGATTCTGGCTTTGCAGGAGTCACAGCTGCAGAGCTCCCAGCTTGGGAATCCCCAGGCTTCTAAGGGGGGTGCTGTCAGACCGGCCCACCCTTTGTCCTGGAAGGATACATTCCATATATTATCCTGGCCAGGGCACACATCTGCTCACTGCTCCAGGAGACATGGGCTCTGTCTTCCCAGGCTGCGTGCTCTGCTGACATCCTTGGAAAGATAGTCTAGAACAAAGCTGACTTACAGTGTGAAATAATGTCGTGGAGAAATGTCTCCCAACAGCCATATGAAAGAACTCATTTTTTGAACTCATTTTTTTTGGTTGATTTTTCTTTGTTAAATGGCATTTAAATATATAAAATAAATATCAAAAATATAAGTCTTTGTTTTACTATGGTTGCAAATATCAAAAAATTTCTATATGTGACACGGCACCAGAGTTAAGTTAGGGTTTTTCAAAATGCTGACACGCCGAGCTCAAAAGGTTCGCCATCACTGGTCTAGAACAAAGCTGACATACAGTGTGAAATAATGTCGTGGAGAAATGTCTCCCCAACAGCCATACGAAAGAACTCATTTAAAAAAAAATTATCATCTTTACCCCTTTAGCACTTTTAGAAGTAACTATGCAAGTTTGACTCATGTGGTTGAATACCAGATTTTTTTCTATATTCTGTATTGTTGGGGTTTTTTGCTTGAATTACATATCACCAGGCAGTAACAGAGAAGCTTATGATAGACAGGTGTATGATACTTGGGTAAGTTTTAACAGTCTTAAAAGGCTTTGAAAAATTTCCTCTTCTGGGAGATGTGGGTTTGGGCTCTATAACCTTAATTAAGGCTACAACGAAATATAATCTTTTTTTGAAGGAATGTTAATTGGTATTAGTTACTCCAAATTTGTTCCACCGCTACAGTCATTAATGCAAAGGTCTGCCTGAGGCTGGTTGACCCGTCCCCTTTCTGCAGGACTAAGCCCACCCGAGGGCAGAGACTCAGCCCTGGCCTTGGGGCAGGCAGATAAATTTGCCAGTGATTATTAGGTGGACCCCAGTTTCAGAAATATTAAAGTACATGTGTGTCTTATTAAGGAAATAAACACAGACCTTCAGGCATATTTTTCCAGACTTCTTCTGTCTATAAATTTACCTTCCATGTATTATTTTCTTTTAAAAAAATATTTTTATTTAATTTATTGGGGTTACATTGGTTAATAAAACTATATAGTTTTCAAGTGTACAGTTCTATGATACATCATCTGTATATTGCATTGTGTGTTTACCCAATCTAAAATCAAATCTCTTTCCATGTATTTTATTCATGCATTCATCCAGTGCACACTTGGCATCAATTCCTGATGACAAGTAAAAGGAGAGGGACATGTAAGCAGTCAGTTTCATTTGAAATACATTGTATTTATGAGGCAAAGTCAAACTACTTTGGGGTTAGATTATTACACTTGTCCCAGAACTTACGTGGGAAATGAAGTATATCTTTAGAAACACTTACGTTTTTTTTTTATGGTCTTCAAACTGTCCTTTGTAGAGTTGTGTGTAATTCCTGCACGGCCTGGTCCTAACTAGGGGTCCACCCCTCTCTTGCCAGGTGGATGTCTAAGCTGTGGAATGCTGTCATTGCACCCAGAGTTCAAGAAGCAATATTGTCAACAGCCTCAGTGAAAAGACAGCCTGGCCTTGTGCAAACAACTGCCAAGAAGCACCTTAGCCAAGGACAGCGGACTGTGGTGAAAGCTGCTCTCAGCATCTTGCTCAATAAAGCCGTTCTGCGTGGCTGTCCCCTCCAGAGAGCAGGTATGTGGGTTCCTGCTGGGAGGAGAGGAAATCCACACTCTTAGGTCAAACTTGTTTACTTTGTTACTAGGGAGCTCTGTTTTTCCTCCTTGTAAATGGAGAAATTATCTCAGCATTAATAAACAGTTCACACCATCGGCCCAGAGCTGTCTCTCTGTCTTGCCGTTACTGGCTCATGTTTAAATTGTAGGCCTCCAAGTAAAGTGTGCTGGGTCACAAAATTCCTGCTTGGGTATTAAGCAGGCCCATGATTTTGAAGAGTCTCTTTCTTTGAGAATTTTGCCTATGAAACTGCAATACATGCTGGAGTTTTATAATTATCCATCTCAATTGTTAATAAATATTAATACATTTTCATAGTTTAGCTTATATTTTGATTTTTAAGAAAAAAATTAGTATGGTTTTTAACCATAGTAATACATGCTGGAATTTTATAATTATCCCAATTGTGTGTTAGGGATTATTTTTTTAAAAAGTGATTGGATAGAAAGTCACTGAATAAAATGAGAATTTTACTGCATTATCACTACCTTCCTTTTGGCAAAACATGATTTGTGTTGTTTCAGAGCTCCACCAACATGCAGTTGATTTCAAAGGAGGAAGTTTCCCTTTGTTCCTAGTTTCAAGTTACAACAGTTGTAGCAAAAAGAAAGGAGAGAGTGGTGCCTGGAGAAAGGTGAGCACCGGTCCTCACAAGAAATCTGGCCATTTCTCTTCCCCCACCTGGAAGAAGCCAGTCCTGAGTGAGAAAGGTAAGAGGGGCTGGCATGCTGTCTAGAGGTACCAGGGCACAGGGTCTAGTTTCTGAATGTAAATGTATTTTTATTCTTTTTCTCACTGTGCATTCAACAAAATTCTGAGTATCTCAAAGCACATTTTCATAGAATAAAAAAGTATGTAGTAGGTACATTTTCAAAAATATTTTGGAGCCCCTTTCCTCAAAATAATTTTTCATACTAGAATTCTGATATTAAATTTATCTTTACTGTGTTAATGATCTTTTTAAAGTTATTTGATATTTGTGGTGTCCACATTTAAATTTTTGTAATGCAATGATTGCACTTTGGCATATTTCTCTCCTTTTACGTGTCACCCCTAAGTCAACCTTAAATTTTTAAAAGTATGTGTGCAGACATATTTGATGCCAGTTAAGACCTTTATATGTGAATTGTTTTACATATTTCTTTTTCATATGATTTGCCCAGTTCTATTCTAGGCAATGGAAATAGAACACAAAACATAGCGACAGTCCCTGCCCTCATTGAGTTTACATTCTAATGAATCATTAAACAGACTCTAAATAATGGGATGGCACGTATAAAAAAGAAATACCTAAGTTTTCATCTAACGAAGAAGAGATAACACATTTATCTCTGTTGTTAGACCTCTTTCTTTTGGTTTTGATACTAAGATAATTATACAAATTATAAATGTCCTCCCTTAAAGAAAATCCATATTTGGAAAAGATGTTCCAACCTCATAGACATGGTGGGTTTCTGATACATGTTATTAAGTTTAGGTCTCGAGGAGCCACCTGCAACTATTCTGTTTGGTGTCATTATATGCCAACTGTACAGCAGTAGGGTTGCTAAATATGAGAATATGCTTCCTAAAATTTAAAACTAAAACATTTTGTTCATTAATACATTTTCATAGTTTAGCTTATATTTTGATTTTTAAGAAAAAAATTAGTATGGTTTTTAACCATAGTAATACATGCTGGAATTTTATAATTATCCCAATTGTGTGTTAGGGATTATTTTTTTAAAAAGTGATTGGATAGAAAGTCACTGAATAAAATGAGAATTTTACTTACTTTTTTGTTTTATGTATTGATAATAGGATACATTCTGATCCCAAGATCTTGTTGTTACTTCCCAAAGAATGTTTAAGTCAGGGAATAAACTCATTAGATTCCAGTCCCCCAATATACCACAGAGATTCCCCAAGTAACTCTCTACAGCAAGAATTATACCTTTTACTTGTTTATCCCAGTATGTATAAAAAAGAGTTCTAAGATGAAGATTATCACCTTCATTTACAGATAACAACAAGGATGTTCAGAAACCCTTGGCTACCTGCTCAAAATCCCCTCTCCTGGAGACAGTGTTTTTGTTTGTAGTGCAATGCTGTTTTATGACAATCTAATCCTGTGGCACATGTAATAATCCATAAGCACCCAGATAAGTAAACACCCATCAAGACTTTTTTTTAATATATTTTTTATTGATTTCAGAGAGCAAGGGAGAAGAATAGATAGAAATATCAGTGATGAGAGGGAATTATTGATTGACTGCTTCCTTCATGCCCCCTACTAGGGATTGAACCCACAACCTGGGCAAGTGCCCTTGACTGGAATGGAACCTGGGACCCTTCAGTTCGCAGGCCGACACACTCTATCCACTGAGCCAAACTGGCTAGGGCCCATTCAGACTTTTTATTATCCTTTCTAAGTTTATTACAATTTCTGTAGGATTTAGGACCAACTTATTTCTTGAGCTAAATAATTACCTAAACAATAATCATTGTCAATATATATACTTGTTGACAAACAAAATCAATAAAATGAATATAAATTTAAAGCAATATTATGGAAATACTAGTAAATCTAACTCAGAAAACTGAATTAGAAATGATTTTTTAATTTATATTTTTGATGATTATAGTTTTAAAGTATTTGAGATAATATATGCTATGAAACATGAAACTTTATTTGAAAGATTTATAAAATTGTATGTATAGTTTACATGAATTTCAACATAAAGTTTTATAAAATCTAAAAACTAATTTTACGGAGGGTCAAGATGATGGCATAGATAAACACAGTTTTCTCCTCCTCCCAAAACCACATCAAAATTACAACTAAATTGCAGAACAACTATCATTCAGAACTACCTGAAATCTGGCTGAATGAGGTCCTACAAGTAGAGAATTGAAGAAGAAGCCACATTGAGACTGGTAGGAGGGGTGGAGGTGTGGAAAGGGCTGGCCCAACACCCACATGTGGTGTTTTTTTAATCAGGAAGAATATCTTGACTGGGGAGATCTATGTGAGAAGCAAGGGGTCCCAGCCCCAACCGTCCTGTGGGAGGCTCCTGTGCTGGGAAGAGAAGTCCTCATAACTTTGGGCTATAAAAACCAGTGGGGATTGTGGCTGAATGACATGAAAGCTGCTGGAGTCCCAGGCAGTTCCTGCTAAAGGGCCCTTGCATGGACTTACTTGGACTCACTCCCTCTGAGCACCAGAATTGGGGCAGCAGCTGAAAAGATCCGGGGACATATGGGGAGGAACTAAATTGTCTGGCATCAGGGCAAGAACTAGTGGGCAGCTTTCTCACAGACAGAAGTACTGGTAGAGGTCATTGTTCCTATGCTGAGACCTCCCCTGCTACAGACCCAACAGGCAGGCACCATATCTGAGTCTCCATCAACCTGGTCCACACTGTTCGTCCTGCCCTGGTGATTTCCTGAGACCCCATATCACACAATTTGCAGCCCCACCCAAGCTGTTTGCAGAGGCATTACCACATGAATGGCCTGTCCTGTCTCAGGCTTCGGACTTTCCTAAAATCCCTCAAATAAGCAGCAACTGGTGACAGCATGCCCCAAACCTCTTGATAAGTGGCCCCAGGCCCGGTACTAGCAGCAGCCTGCCTTGGTTCCAGCTTGGCCTCTCCTGGGCACCTCCAAGCCCAACACAAGTAGCAGCCATCTACAGATTGATTGATAGCTCTTGCCGAGTAGCCCCAGGCAGGGTACTGGAAATAGCTGACTTTGCAACTCCAAGGAGGCCTCAGAGCCAGTGCACCCAGTGGTCAGCTTCAAACTAAACCAAATTACAACCCTACCACATCCATGAATGACACACTCAAGGGGTAGACTCAGTGAGCACCAAAGCCCCACTGAAGCAAGTCCTGCTCCATAGGGATGACTCCTGCACAGCAGCTCTTCCACTGTAGTACCAGCTGGTCCTCATAGCCAGTTGATTTGGGGGTCAATTCCTCTTAGTGATGCTAACAGCAACCAAGGCTCAACTACAATAAAACAGTGCACACAGCCCACACAGGGGTGCACCTAGAGTACCTAGCTCAGGGGACTGGGGAGGCTGAGCCACTGGGCCCTACAGGACACCTACTGCACAAGGCCACTCTACCAAGTCCAGGAGACATTGCAGCTCTACCTAATATATAGAAATAAACATAGGGAAGCAGCCAATGAGAAGACAAAGAAACATGGAAGCAATCAGTGAGGAGACAAAGAAACAGGTCGCAAATGAAAGAACAGAAGAAATCTCCAGAAGATAAACTAAATGAAATGGAAGCAAGCAAACTACCAGAGGCAGAATTTAAAACAATGATTATTTGGATGCTCAAGGAAGTCAATGACAATTTCAAGGAACTTAGTGAGAACTTCAAGGAACTTAGAACATCAACAACATGAAAAAGGACCAGTCAGAAATGAAGGATACACTAACTGAAATGAAGAATAATTTACAGGGGAGCATCAGTAGAGTAAAAGACACTGAGAATCAAATGAGCAATTTGTAATATGAGGAAGCAAAAAACACCCAATCAGAACAGCAAAAAGAAAAAAGAATTCAAAAATATGAAGACAATGTAAGGAGCTTCTGGGACAACTTCAAGCCTACCAACATTTGCATCATGGGGGTGCCAGAAGGAAAAGAGAGAGAGCAAGATATTGAAAACTTATTTGAAAAAATAATGACAGAAAACATCCCTTACCTGGTAAAAGAAATAGACATACAAGTCAAGGAAGCACAGAGAGTCCCAAACAAGATGAACCCAAAGAGACCCTACACTAAGACACATCATAATTAAAATGCCAAAGGTTAAAGGCAGAGAGAATCATAAGAGTGGCAAAAGAAAAGCAGTTAGTTACCTACAAGGGAGCGCCCATACTAAACTCTCTATCTCTCTCCCTTCCTCTCTGTAAAAAATCAATAAAATATATTTAAAAAAAAAAAAAGAACCTACAACCAAGATTACTCTACCTAGCAAAGCTATCATTTAGAATTGAAGGTCAGAAAAAGAGCTTCACAGATAAGAAACAGCTAAAAGAGTTCATCACCACCAAACCAGTATTATATGAAATGCTGAAGGGTATTCTTTAAGAGGAGGAAGAGGAAGAAAAATATAAAGATAAAAAATATGAATAACAAAGGGGCAGCAAATACACATCTATCAATAATTGAATCTAAAAATCAAAATAAATGAGCAAGGAATCTAATGAACAAAATAAACTGATGAATAAAATAGAATCAGATGCATGGAAACATGGAACAGACTGATGAATCTCAGAGGGAAGGGGGTAGGAGGGGCAAGAAGAGATTAACCAAGGAACATATATGCATATATGCATTACCTATGGTCACAGATAATAGGGTGCTGAAGTCCTGGGGTGGGGCAGGATCTGGGTGAAGGGGGTACTGGGGGGCAGAGGGGACATCTGTAATATGCTCAACAATAAAGATTTTTTAAAAACTAATTTTACAGAGTAAAATTCATGGGCTTTAAATTTTAACCACACATCATGATTAGATGAATGAACCAAAGATTGACATATCTTTCTGTTTATTGTATTTTTTTATAACATAAATTTGTTTCCCAATAATTGCACTTGATATAGGGTTGATTTCGGGTGGGGTTTTTTACATCGTTTAAAAAAAAATCAAAATCGGAACCACTCTGCATTCCATGCAGATCACCATGGAAGGTCATAAAGTTTAGTAGAGACACATCTTTCTTTCCTGACCTCAAACAGAAAAGTACGATGTCAGGTCATAGGCTAATGGATTGCAGGGCCCACATCTGGGCACATTTGGTCATTAGGGAAAGGCGCTAGTCAATGCTTTCTGACAATGACAAAAGTATGAGTAAAGAAACTAGTACAGAGATCATGTCGGATTATTTGCTTTGAATGAGGATATATTCAATTTACTTTTCAAAATTATTCTTTAGAGCAGTGGTCACCAACCTTTCAGACCTCACGGACCACCGGTGGTCTGTGGACCACCAGTTGGCAACCACTGCTTTAGAGATATAATGTATACTAGCAATATTCATACAATTTTTAATTCAATCAGAAGCAACTATAAAGCTTCCAAAATTTAGTGTATTATAAAAATAGACTTTTTTTGGAGTCTGAAATAGTTTTTAACAGTATTTTCTCAAACCTTTTGACCATAACCCACAGTAAGAAATATGTTTTACATCATTACCAGTATACGCAAACCTATGCATTTGTGTGTACAGTGGGGCCTTGACTTACGAGTGTCCCAACTAACGAGTTTTTTGAGATACCAGCTGTCTCTCGGCCGATTTTTTGCATTGAGTTGATAGAGTAATTTGAGTTAACGAGCTCCTTAACGAGCTCCTTAAGGAGCTCGGTCTCAGAAGGAATTAAACTCGTAAGTCAAGGCCCCACTGTATATATAATTGATACTGTCGATATATTTACTGCAAGCAATGCAATCAGATATTTTCCATTACCTTTTTGTTCACTGTTCATATTTTCTTTGCTGTATAATGCATAGCAGTTAAAAGTTAAGTTTCTACAAGTACACTTCTCATGCCACACCCACTGTGATACGTTATGGGGGCCCACACATCAGAAACCGCACTTGATCGGCCTGGTCAATGCTGGAAGGCAAAGGTAGAGAGGCAAGGGCTTGACTAGTGAGAAGAAGGACCATTGATAAAAGCAAAATTCAGAATCCTGAATTGAGCCTCAGGTGTGTTAGTTGGACTTAATTCAGGGAACCTTCCCCCAGTGGCTGTGCAGGAAGCTACATCTGGAGACTCTGCCCTAAGGAAAACCCCTCAGGAGATGGATTCAGTTAAAAAAACAGTTTAGAAGTGCAGCATAGTCGTGCTGCGTAGACCATAGTCTGTTTCTTTCAAATACAGAGTTCAAAATGCACAGGGATTCATGCCATTGGAATGATTACATTTTTCCTTGCAGGTATCAAAAATACGGCTAGATCACAGCTGAACTGTAACAGGAGTGCTTCTCTGTCAAAACAAAAGTGAGTTCCCTTTCAGATTAACTCAGCAAACAATACACACTCTCATTTTAGTTGTGCAACTATTATACTATTAATATAATTTTAAAGCAATTTGTTGAAAAGATTAGAAATATTATTAGCTTCATTCTTATCAAACTTTGACATAAGGATATGGTAAAATCCTGTATTTTTACATTTTAAACAGACTTTAGATGACTGATTTTATTTTTTTTACAACTGTCCGCTTTCCCACCTTCCTCACCTGAATTTTTCCCCAAAGAGCAAACACTGAGTTTTATCCCAAAAAGCAAACCATTTCTAAATTAATAGTGTTTTATTCCCCCCTGGAATTTATTTCTGTTTCTGAATAAAATGCATATGCTTGCTGTTCCTTCTTTTACCCATTTTAGATGGTATCTGTTGTTGCTATCATTGAAGATAAAAACTTGGGAGGTACATTGTTTTTTGAGACCAGACATGTCTTTTTTTTATGATTTCACTCCTAGTTTATGTTATCAGGATATATATGTTTGTGGGTTGGAAATAATTTTCATTTGGACTTTTAGGCCTATGGCTCCATTTTCCTCCAGTTTCCATTTGATTTCTAATTTTTCATTGCTCCAATCCTCAGAAACCTATTGGACTTTTTAAAATCTTTATTGTTGAAAGTATTACATATGTCCCCCCAGAGTCAAATCTCCTGTCATCTTATATTAGGAGCTCCTTCTCCCCCATCCCTTTCCCTCTGTCAACCACCATGCTGCTGTTCTTGTTCAGGAGTTTCAGTTTTACATCCCACATATGATTGAAATCATATGGTTCTTAGCTTTTTCTAACTTACTTATTTCACTTAGCATAATGTTCTCCAGGTCCATCCATGTTGTTGCAAATGGTGCTATTTCATTTTCTTATGACTGAGTAATATTCCATTGTGTATTCCATCTCCTTTTCCAGTCCTCTAGCATGGGACACTTTGGTTGTCTCCATATCTTGGCCACTGTGAATAATGCTGCAGTGAACATAGGGGTGCCTATATCTTTGCGAAAACATGCTTTCAAGTTTTTCGGGTATATACCTAGGAAAGGATTGCTGGGTCGTATGGTAGCTCTATTCTTAATTTTTTGAGGAATCACCAGGCTGCTTTCCATAGTGGTTGTACCAGTCTACATTCCCACCAGCAGTGAATGAGGGTTCCCTTTATT